CATATGTGCACAGTTGAACTGGAGCACTGCAAAGCTGTTCAAACCAAAAAGAAACTCAAAAGCCTCAGAGACAAGCAAAAGTCTCTGCTTTTAACCAATTTATTTATTTATATTTGTGACCAACTCATCCCACGTGATTTTACCAGGCACTTTTCCTTGTGCTGTTTGTTTCCATACAAGTCACAACAGATATTAGCAAAAGCAAACACTACTATGTCACAGGTACTTCCCAAAAGCCACATGGGCTATAAAATGTAAAGTCAAGGCCAAATCCATGGCAATTCATGTATTTACTGGACTTTGCAGGAGGTTTCAAAGCAGTGAGTCAGATGATAAACATACTGCAACACTAGACACAATACTGTACATAGAGACAGGTCTTTTGCTTTAATTTTTAATTTCCATTTTCTGTGGGTTTAGACAAAGCACTGACATTACTTTAGCATAATACTTTGCAATGAATCAATACTTGAATTTAATAATGGTATTATGTTGTCAACATATAATATATCACATAATGTCCTTCTATAGATGCAAAAAACTTATGCCAAATAAAATGCAAGGCTTTGCTTTTACCAGTGATCATAAGTTAAATCAATATAATGAGAAACTGTACTGTCCCCAAAAGAATTAGCAATAACCATTTCTTCTGGGTTAAAAATCAGCATGGAATAATTCCATCCATATCCCTTCCACTCATCATACCAGTGTTATGAAAGTTCTCCTAGGTCATAGGATTCCAATGAATACTTTTATTAAAGGAACAGAGAAGAAATATATCCAAATAGAATCAATGTACATATCTGAGTGGGACTTACTTGAATATTCCACTTCTTTATGAATTCAGTGATAACTGCACTAGTCCCTAACTAGAAAGAAGATTATAAATGGAAAATGGAATTAAGTCCAATGTCATCCAACTTAATTGAAACAGATGAAGCAAGTTACAGCTTTAAAACGTGAAAAAGTAAAATACAACTACAATAACTTTCATTTCAGTCATGTGGCTACAATTCTGTATCTGCTATTTTTATCTTGATGGTAGTCTTCCTGTTGACAAGTACTTAAGATGGGAAACACAAATCTAATCATTTCTTCTGACTGAAGGTATGTGAATAGAAAGTAAAAGGAAATAAGAAGCCAATGCTCCTAAAACTCCCAGTTGTTTGCCTCAGTATTTTTTTTCAATTCAACAGCTTTTGAAGCACTTAAAATTGATACATACCTGGTATATTAATCTTAGTTAATGCTAAAGACACGTGCTTTCCAGTCACGTGTGCTCCCCTTGATTTCAATGACAGCTCATGACCATAATGAGAAGTGTTCGCAGATACATGTCATTTATTGGCAGAACGCTTTAGAGCTCTGGGAAGAGTAGGTCTGGTTTTACTACGGTTTGGCACCTCCCACAACACCCTCCAGTTGGTGAAAACCCCGCAGTTCCATCTAAGTGTCATCCTTAATGTGAAAAAGATATTTGAGTCAGTGCAAAATAAAACAAACAGCTTTTACCAAAATGTCAGTGCTGGTAGTTGTGCATCTGCCAGATGCTTGTTACTTGAACCCATGCCGTGCATAACAAACAGTCAGAGATATGACTAGGACAAACGACTGGACCAGAAAATCTTTAGCAGGAAATCAAAGCATACTCAGGCTGAAGTCTGGACTCAAAAAAGGTTGCAATTGGACTTCACAAGATTTATTGATTAAGTGTTCTGTAACATCTCTTTTCTTGGTTACCATGCATTAGTTGAGCCCCACCTGCCTGACCTCAGTTCTGTGCATTAGCCTTTGGTCATATGAACACGAGAGAAAACACAGTGCTATTTCATAGCTGAATTCACAAAGGAATTCTTGTAAGTCCAGTATCTCAATTTAAAGATAATAACATCACTGAAGAACCCAAAGTACCATGAAAAAATGCATATTGGAAAAATCAGGGCATGACTCTTTAAAAATGAAACCAATGGCTTGATAAAAATAAAACCCTACTCGTATATTCCAGTCAGCTGGTTGATTTTTCCAATCTACAGGCTGGCCTATCCTTCTGAATCAGTGACTGACTTTTATGCTGAGCACTGGATGAAGAGGTAAATGCTGAAATGCCATAGTCCTTACATGATCATGGAAAACACACACAGGCACAAGATACAGAGTGAGATTTGATGAGTAAGTGGCTTTTGCTTAGTCAGAACCTGAAGGATCTTCATCAAGAACTTTCAAAACAGCTAACAGATAGCTTGACTTTGAGTGAAACACAACCAAGAATTATTGTCATTATGCACACCCACAAAAAAGCGAGATTTCACAACATCTCCTCAGATGAATACACACACAGGGAAGAGGCTTTACCAACATTAATTCAGGTGGGCAATCACAACGGCTTTCTGGTGAAATAACTCCTGATTTGCCTTCCATTTTCCTAAATCCTATTTTGAGCCCATTTAACATGTTAAAACAATTAAATAAACTGCAACACAAACCAATATAAATACAGGCAGCTGCTTCTTTTCTTAAAAGCTGTGAAATGTTAAATAACCTATGACTCCTGCCCACACATGTGACTTGCCAAGCCAGGGGATCACACAAGGGCGTGCACTATTTTGAAAGCTAGGACATAAGATTCATCATGTCAGATTTGTATTCACATGGTACAACAGGATCCATGACTTTCATTTCAATAGCAGCTGGAGCAACGGGCACAGAGGGAACATGTAGCTCAACCTGGGAAATTAGGATGAATTTGATTTTAAAAAATTCCCTTTCTTACTAAGAGCTGTTAGTGGTAGATGCAGATACTTGCTTTGGGGTCACACCATGTCAGCAGTTCACACAAAAAAGATTGCATTTCTCCGCTCTCTCCCCTCCAGTGGATACTGCAGCCTCAAAGAATTTTACATGTATCCTCAGAGATGCTTATATGTATCTGGAGAGTGCAGCTGTAGGCTTTAAAAAAATGTTCACATGCCCTACAAATTCAAATCCTTTTTTATGTAATCTATTTAATCTTCCATTAATGATAATCTCTGCTATCAATGTGCCCAAACAGGGTCAATTTCTGCGGGATTTGCAGTTCTTGCATTTCCATCCTATAACTGAGCTCCATTTAATGAAGGGAAACACCCTGCTGTAAAAGGTATTAGCAGTCTCCCTAAAACAAAAAATAGTTAGGAGGCTCTGCAACTACCAAGAACATTTCAAGATTGGGGATTTTCTTCTTCCTTTGTGTGCCTTGCATGAAGGAGAGTCCTGCCAGCTGAATATTATTTATTAATCAGGATATTCCTACCTTCTAGACTTTGTAAGGAGACAGCATAGAGGGGCGGAAATTGCTGTGGATTTCTCCTACATACCCAAAGAGACAGAAAGGGGAGAAAGGAAGAGATTGCAAGAGAGCACTTAGACCCTGACAGATCCCACCTGGCAAGCCCAGGCAGACGCACGCAGGTCACAGCAGTTTGAAGTACCACATAACATATCTGGTTCACACAAGGATTGAAAACAGAGACACGGGTCGAAAATCTGGCTTCCTTTGCTGTTTTCTAAGAAGTGCCCTATACAGCTCCTTACTCCTCAGTGAAACGGGTTGGGTTCAGCTCCACAATAGATTTTCCTTCTGGTAACTTCTGACTTCCCTAGGTCGTACCTACAGAACATGCAGGCTCAGACACACCTGTAAGGGATGCTTCTCTCAATTACTGTAGCAGACGCAGGAGAAACCAGTTACTGCCTTGTTTGCTCTTCTGATTCAGTGATAGTTTTATTCGTAATCATTCCCAGCCATCCGCCACCTGCACACCCACCCACACATACATATCCAATTTGCTGTTCTTCTCCCGATTTTGTCAATTCACAAGATCAGCTCGCTCTGAGTATACTCTCTGCCCCAGTGGCTAATCAGCAAATAGAATTAATAGACAAAATAAAGTTCGAATTATTTGCTAACAAAATCCTCCAGCAGAATAGCCATACATTAGCACGCAAAAGGGGAACTCTAGAAGTGATGAGGTGGTCGCATTCAGTTGAACTGATGATCCCAGCAGCAGAAACTAAGAGTTAATGGAGGATACCTGGCTTTTCGTTTCCTCTACTGCATCCAAGAAAACGCAGATTACTATAACACAGTATAATTGAGTATTTCACTAAATAGCACCACACAGAAGTTCTTTTGGCAAGGATTGCATTTGTCCTAAGTAACCTTTACGAGAAGCTGAAAGCTGATACACAGAGAACAAATAAATTTTCGGATTTAGTCCGAATCCTTAAGTTTGTGCTTGGGAGGGTGGAAAGAACCAGCCACCATGCATCAGTCGGAGAACTAGCCCCCTCCTCTGCTTAAAAAAAAAATAGTCACGGCAAGACGATGCTAAGGCTACACATGGGAGCCGGCAAAGCGCTGGGCTGCGTCTGCATATCCGCGGGGTGCCCTGGCCTCCTTCCTGGCGGAGCTGGCGACAGCTCCTTCAGAAGCTGGGACGGAGGGAGCATCCCTGCGGAGCCCGCTCTCCTCTATTTCAAGGGAGATGAGCGTGTGGGAAGCCAAACTCCCTCACCAGCAGACAAGCACATGCACAACCCACTCCACACCTCCCGAGGACCACTCTCCCTACTGCCCCTTCTGGGGCTGTCATCAACGAACCCTCTCGCTCAGATACCTCCTAGCATCTCCTAAATACCTTTCGCAGACCAGCCTGCAAGGGGAAAGGGGGAGGAATCTGCATCTTTCCTAAAAACCACAAGGAAAACCAGTCGCCTCAAATGGCTGCTCCTGCCTCAACATCCATCACACAAGCAGGGAACTTGCCAGGGGGGTGGGGGCGCAAGCGGGGGAAGGAAAAAGAAGCGCAAACTTCGCAGCTCTCCGGCCTCCCTCCCGCAGGGCAGCAACCGCACGGGAGCGCCGCGGCAGCCGCGCCCGAGCAGCGCCTCGCCCCGGCCCGACCCCGCCGCCGCTCGGCCGACACCGGGTCCGGACGGGGCGATGCGCGCTCCGGGCGGCCCGAGGGCGCGGACGGGCGGTATCACTTACGGGTTTTGGGGGTCGTGCTGGCCTCCGGCGTGGTGGTGGTCGACTCCTGGAAGGGAGACAAGGTCCAGGACGGCGCCGAGTCGTGGACGTAGATCTTGTAGGAGGAGGTAGCGTGTGCCGCAGTGGGCCAGGCGGGCAGCGGCGGGGTGCTGGGGGCGGCGGGCGGCGGCCGGGCGCCGCGGCCGGGGTGCCGGGGGCCGCTGGCGGGCGGCGCCGTGTGCGGAGACACGGGGTGCCTGGGCGCCGTGGGCCGCGGGCCGCCCCGCGCCGGGCCGCGGGTGCCAGGGGGCCGCGGGGGCGCCCGGCTCATGGTGGTGAGGCGGGGGCTGACACGGCTGGGCGGCCGCGGCGTGGCCGCGGCGGTGGTCTCCGCGCCGCGGGGGGGAGCGGTGGGCTTGGAGAGGAAGAAGGGGTCCTGCCCCACGCCCTTGGCGTCCATCAGCTCGGTGGGGACGTACTCCTTGACGGAGCCCACCACGATCCACTTGAGCAGCATGAGGCTGAGCCCCAGACCGATGAAGCCGATGAAGAGGGGTACCACGCACAACCACGTCTGCTGCCGGTTCCAGACGATGCAGTCGCTGCAGCGCAGCTCCCGCGGCGGCCCCCGGCCCCATCCCCGCCCGGGCCCCCCGCCGCAGCCGCCGCCTCCGCCGCCCCGGGCGCCGCGGCGCCGGCAGCCCCCTCGCTCATCCTAGGGGCCGTCCGCAGCGCCGCCGCGGCCCCGGGGCATCAGCGCGCCGCGGCTGCCGGCGGCATGCGGCGGAGGGGAGCGCGGAGCGGAGCGGGCGGCGGGAGCGCCCCGCTCAGTCACGCCGCCGGCACGGCATGCCCCGCGCCGCGCCGCCCCGCGCAGCCTCCCGCGGCCGCGGAGTCAGCGGGACGGCCGCGCCATCCGCCGGGCGCCCTCCTCTAGCGCTGCTCGCTGCAGCCTCGTCGCTCTTCTTCTTGTCCCTCCGCTCTAAGGTTTTTCTTTTCTCTCTCTCTTTTTTTTTTTTTTCCCCCGGATAATAAGTCGCAAGGATCAACCTTCTCGGTTTATTTCTTTTTTATCCCAATCGTGCAGCTCCGGCGGCGAGCAGGTACATTCCTTCACATTCACGCACCTTCTCGCCTCTCCTCTTTTTTTTTTTTCCTCTCCCCTCGAGGGCTGGGGGGGAGATCCTTTCTTTCCGTCTTTCTTTCCGTCTTTCTTTCCGTCTTTCCTTCCTTCCCTGCGCTCCCTCCCCCGCCCGCTCGGCTCCTGCCTATGCCCGGCCGCGGTGCAGCAGCATCCCTCGGCGGCTCCGCGGGGAGGCGGCGGCGCGGCGCACCCGCCACTCCGCGGCCCCGCGGCCAACCCGCGGCCGGCGCCGGTTCAGGGAGGCCGATCCGCGGGCGGGGCCCGGGGCAAGGAGGCGCAGCTCCTCCGCGCCCGCGCTAAGTCCGGCCCGGCATCAAAACTACGGCGAGGATTCCCGAAAAAAAAAATAAAAATAATAATCCACACAAGCAAGGAGGAAAAAAAAAAAAAAAAAACCCTGGAGGGGAGCGGCAATGACCCAGTCGGAAAAAAAAAAAAAAAAAAAGAAGAAGAAAATACGGATCCGGCAAATAAATGGGCACGCAGAGGAAGCTCCTGCCAAGCTTGCAGCTTCGGTTCGATTGTGTATTCCTCTGGCAGCGCCGCGGAGGCAGGCTAGCGCGCACAAAGTAAGGCGCCTCCCACCAAAGCCTAATGGTGGTTCCTTAATGCGCACAAGATAAATAAATGATCCAGGCAAACCCCTCGGGAGGATGTATGCTACGGCAAGCGGAGCCTAGGAAAGAAAGGAAAAAGGCAAGAAGAGAAAAAGAAAAGAGAAAGGGGCGGGGGTGTGGGGTGTGGGCGAAGCGCCTGAACCCATCCTGTGGTAGCAATCCAATAGGCTGGTGCTGTATGTCAAAAAAGACGTGTGCGGGGAGCGGCCAGGGGTGTGCGTGTGCGGGGGGAGGTGGAAACACCTTCCGAGAGGGATCCCACCAAATCCCATGAGAAGGCCAGGGCTCAGGAGAGAAGATGTTCTCCGACCCTAATGCTATCCGACGACTAACAGTTGGCAACATTTTGTTGCTGATGTTTCTAAAGGGAGTCGCTAAAGAAAAAAAAACACCAGACACCTACAACAAAAGGACAATTCTTTTCAGCAGCCGGAGGGCAACTGATGGCACAGCCACGTACTGAGGTTGCGGCTTTCTGGACGTTGCCACACGAGTTTTGATATTGAAACTACTCCACCTTGTTTGGTCTACTCCAAGGTTGAACTCCCATGTTCACTGTGGTCAACAGTGTGTGCTTTCCATTCACTTAGTGGACAAACATTTCAACAACGAGGATGGTCACTGAAGGGTTAATAGCAGTCTACCAAAGGTGGCCTAATCACCATTTCCAAAATGTTAGGAAATACTCTATAGAATTATATATATACACAGGTATTTTTAACCCTTACTTCTCATCTGTTACTTCATTGGTATCATTTTATGGTATTGATACATAAGTATAGTTTCCTTAGTCATGTATTTAAAAATGTATTCATATTTTTTACAGAATAATTGAGCAGAAAAGTTGGAAACAAAATGTGAAATAGATTTTTCTGTATATAAAGAGACAAATATTGCAACTGAAACATATCTGCTTGAATTTCTCTCTAGAATAAATGTTAATAACATTAAAACTGTAATATCAATGTTATATTTTAGACATGGAGATTAAATAAAGGTTAATAGTATTTGAAATATAATATCAATATTATATTTTAGACATCTAGACTAATAGTGACAAGACATCTGGATTATTTTCACTCCAAGCTCTCCATCTGGAGTTTGGTGGCTTCTATGCTAACATCCACTTGGAAAATCTCTGGAAGTGGCTCATAAGGTAAATGTGCTATGTAAACTCCTCAACCCCCCCATCCTCCCTTTGACACTGGAAAACATGAATATATGGATTTCTAATCCTTGAGTAAAGAGGCAAAAGGTTTAGGAGAAAGCACTTAGAGGGAATCATGGGAGCATTGCCCATTGCACAAATGGATGCCCAGTAAAGCAAGCAAATGAGACAGACCAGGATGTTTTGGTGATCCAGGGAGGCTTTGTCACTGATTTTATAGAACACAGGATTTCTTATGAAAATGTAGAACCAGGTGCTTTCAGCCTGGAGTGCCTGTCCTACACAGTCCTCACCTTCCTCGCAACCTTGGAATACCTTTATCCTGCACTGAGCTGTGTGTTTCCTGTATGAATGTCTCTTAGCTCATTCTTAGCTTACAATGCCTCTTCCATAGCCATATTGCCATTCACTAAGCTCAATATGAATCATTCATTGTATACATCCTCAAATAATTTGTACGTGCTTCTTGGAAGAGCAAAAATGTTTTACAACCCTCACAAGACAGAGAGCTTTTATTTTTCTCTCGACTCTGTCTTGAACTCTGTCAGTGTTTCATCTGTCTCAACTACATTTCTTACCCCCACTAAGATTTTCAAACTTCCAGCTCCTAAATTTTGTAATGGTTTTAATGGAAGACATCAGGATGTGATACCATTAAGATGACTCAAGTGTAGCCATCTCATCGATTAATATTGAAGGACTTCCTGTATTACGAGTAAAGATTTTCAGGCTTCTTTTCTTACAATTTCCCATTCTTATCATTCAGGGTTGACAACTATTCTTGAAATTGATTGTGGAATGCTTTCAATGGGCCTTACTTAAGTGAATTACTTAAAAACGGGTATTACCCTGATAAGTTAATGAAGATCTTACCATTGACTATTAGCCTCTTGAAGAAGGTCCTTCAGTCTAAAAATATGAAATGGCATGGATCTAGATATAGGAAGCTTCCCTTAAACCCATAGTAATTGCAAATGTATTTCAAATAGGTTGTCTTTCAGTTAAAAAAAAAAAAAAAGCCATTCACCTAGACAGACACCTAAATGCAGGCAATATATGGAAATGTCTTCCTGTAATAACTTAGTCATGAGTTAAATTGTTATGATGTGTACAAAAACACAGTCTCTGGATGCTTTTAGATTATTTCTCTGTCCTTAAAAATTAATATTCAAATCATAATCAGTTTCTCAAATCAGCCCACTCTTGTTAAACTGAATCTGTTCAGTGCATTAATTCTAATTTACGTAGGTATTTGGTAAATCTCACTTGCATTTCTTCCTACTCATTTTGTATCATAGCCCAGCTCTTTTACTTTTTCTGGAAATATGTTTATCACGATCAGAAAATAATATATAATTTAATTTTCTTGACTTACTTTTCTTCATAATATGCAAAGAAAGCCTTAGTATCTCCTTTGGGGCATCTGTGACTGGGATGGATTAAATTGTTTATCTGTGGCGGAGTCAGAAGTGGTATTTTCTTAAGGACTGGTGTGACACACACAAAACAGATTCACCATTTATGCATATATCACTTTGTTTGTCACAGGGGATTACATTTTGGCTGGCAATAGGTATGCCACAGCTAATGGCGTGCTATTCCTGGTTGAATTCACACGTCTCCAAACAGAAGAACCACCTACACCCATTATTTCAAATAATGAAATGTAATAAGTGATTTATGGAGCTAAATTTTGGTTGACTGTTGTCGTGAAATCAGCCCAAGAAACCTCAGGATAACTGGGTTAGAAACAGAAATTCAATTTTGGAAAATAAGACCCTTCTGGAGCCATGTCCATTTCAGCACCAAAACAAAATGCCTGTAGGATGCCTATGTTCTAATCCTTCATCCAGAGTTAGAGGCCTTTCTTTCCTCCCCAGCTTTACAAAGTATCTGAAGACATTCCTTGTTAATTTATGTAAATATTATCTGAAGCTAAGAGTAACAAAACCTCAGCAGTTACTTTGCTGTATGGTGTGATCAGCTGCTGGCAGCACAAGCAGTCTCTCTTTGAGGTGCTTTAGCACCCACCTCACCTGCTGTGTTCTGGTAGTTCAGCAATTGGATGTGGCAAACAGAATTTCCCGAACAAAGGATGCTGGAATTGGGGCTGGTTATGTAAATAGGTGCTATGCTGTTTCCCAAACTAGGGCATTTGAATATTCTTTACTTAATTCTTCCTCTTAGCTTTCATCCCCA